GAGTGATGTGCCTTCCTTTCTCTCCCTCTACCCCTGTTCACCAAAAGAATGTTCCTGTGAAGGAGTCCGAGGCCCCAGGGAAAGTCAGAAGAACTAGATGGAGGAAATTTAGGTCCTGAACGATGGTGTGGAGCAGCCTCTCCCACTCCCTGCCCTGGCCCCCACTAACCCACACTGGACTCTGAGGTGGTCAGGAAATGAACCTTTAGCGTCTTTAACTGCTGAGACTGCATGTGTGCATGCGTGCATGCATGTGTGCGTGCGTGTGGTCTAATAGCTGGGATTACTTACCCTGACTAATACATTGCCATTCTTGCTGAAATAGATTCTCAAACAACGTCTTAATGAAGGGTGTTTAGGAGGTAAATTTCCAAAGCTCTTGCATGGTCTGAAAAATGTCTTTATTTAGCCCTTACATTTGAGTTTGGCTAGTGAGGCTAACCTGCTAGTTGCCTACTTGCTATGAAAGAAACATAGGCGTGATGTCTGGAGCTGTAGCTCTATCATGTGACCATGTGGCAACAATATAAGGTAAAGGCCTGTGAGAGCACAGAAATGCTAGCTCTAATGCCTCTATCTACTGAACAACCAAGCAATGCTTCCTATGGATGTCTTGTCAGATGAGAAAAGTAGCCTCCTATTTATTTTAAGGTACTGTCTGGGTCGTATTTTCTGTTACATAGAACATCTTTAACTGGCCAAGAAGGTATATAATTTCAGGTTAAAAGTAGTTTTCTCTTAGAATTTGAAGATCTTTCTCTGCTGTCTCTGGCCTCTGTTATTGGTGATGCCAGACTGATTCACGTTCTTTGCGATTTTTTTTTTAAACAGAAAGCTTTTAATGTTCTTTTTATTCTTGATATTCAGATATTTCTTAGTGTGTCTAGGCATTAATTTTTAAGAAATCTATTCTGCTCATCATTTGCCAAGCTTTTCTTTTCTTTTATTATTTATGCCTACAGCACCTGGTCTTCCTAGGTAGTCTCCCATCCAAGTACTAACCAGGCACGACCCTGCTTAGCTTCTGAGATCAAACATCGGGCTTGTTCAGGGTGGCATGGCCATAGACCATGGACCATGGCTCCACTGGGGCGCGAACCCAGGACCTTCTGTGCGTGTAAAGCAGATGTGCTAACCGCTACACTATGGAACCACATCCAATCTGCCAAGCTTTTCAATTTGATGTCCGCATCTCTGTTCAGCTCTGGGAAATTCCTCTGTACCATTTCCTCTCCTTTGCTCTCCTACCTTCTCTTTCTGAAACTCCTGACAGCAGATGGTGGACCTGGATCCATCTTCATAGCTCTTGTCTCTGCTTTCATATTCTGCATCTTTGTGTTCTGTGTTCAAAGATACACTAACTCTTCTATGAATTTTTAAAATTTCAGCAATATCTTTAATAGTTCAAGAATTCATATTTTCTGGCTGTTTCTGCTCAAGATGGCAAATTGTACCCCCCCCAAAAAAAGAATTCTGATTTTCTGATTGCTCTTTTCTCAAAGCTTCTTGTTCATGTTTTGTCCATGTGGTATCTCTTAAAACATTTCTGAGGCAATTTCAACTCAAAGTTATCTTTTATTTCCTGAATTATTTTTATTTTATTTTGAGTCAATTTTTCTATTATTCTTAGTATTTTTCTTCTCAACTACCTGTTAGAATAAGGATAAGACAAAAATCCTTAACATAGCCTAAAATGCTCTGCAGAGTCTGGCCCCTAACTGTTCAGAAACATTACTTTTAAAGTTTCAGAAACATTTCTTTTAAATTTAATTTAATTTGGGGGTTGCGATACATAATACATTCATAAGAGTGTATAAAACATATGATCATTCAAAGAATAATAATAAAGCGAATGTACACATAAACAACTTCCAAATTTACAAAGGGGACATTGCCAAGATTGTGTTCCTCTGCATTTGTCCTCACCTTTCTCTCCAAGAGGAAATCACCATTCTGATCTTCGCAATCCTAATCTCCTTGTTTCCTCACTAGTGTTACTATCTTTGCCTGAATCCCGATACGAAATAATGTTCAGCTCTGCCTGACTTTGAACTATATATAAGTGGCACCATATAGTTTGTATTCTCATTTCTTTTGCTAAACATTATTTTGTAAGGCTCATTCAAGTTGATGTGTATCACGATAGATTCTTCGATTTCAATGCTCGCTAATAATTCAGTGTATGACCACTAGCCAAGCCTGTGGGATTTGAGGGCTGTTTCCAGTCTTTACAAATATGGTTGCTACAAACATTTAAAAACAGATTTTGTGGTGCACACATGCAAGAATGGCTCCAGGGGGTTTCCCTAGGGTGCAAATAGCTGGCTCACAGGTCACATGCAAGTTTGAACTAATTCAGTAGTGCCAAACTCATTTCCAAATTGGTGGAATCCACTTTTATTCTCCCCGACAGTGTCTGCGAGTTCACCTTGTTCCATTCTTGTCAGGACTTGTCATTATCAGACTTTAAAATTTTTACTTATCAGGTGGGGGTGAAGTTGGATCTTGTTGTGGTTTTATATTTTCATGGCTCATGAGGTTGAGCAACTTTTTATTTCATTGGTCACTAGCGGTTCCTCTTTATGATGTGCCTTGGTATTCTATTAAAGTCCATTAGTCAAATTTCTTAATCGTATCCTTATTGAACATATGTCTGCTTGTTCTACCAATTACGGAGAGATGTGTTTTAAAATCTCGCACTGTAATTGTAGATTCATCTATTTTTCTGTGTGGCTCTCTTCGTGTTTCTTATGTTTTAAGACTATATTTTTGCATGCAAATTTGGAATTGTTCTATCTTTCCGATGGATTAGAATATTTTCATTATGAAGTGACCTTCTTTACCTCCAGTGATGATTTTTTCTGGTATTAAAATAACTGTACTAGTCTTTTTGTTAGCCTTTGTTTGCATGCTATATTTTTCCCCATGCATTTACTTTTGCTCTTTCAGCATCCTTCTGATTTGGAATCATCTCTTGTGGATGTCTTTTGTAAATTGCATGCAGTTAGATTTTATCCAGTATGAGAATCTACGTATTTTAACTACAACGTTTATTCCAGTTGCATCGATTCAATCATAGTGCATTTGAATTTATATCTGTCACCTATTGGCCTCACCTGTCTTGTATTTATTTTTCTCTCCATTCTTGCTTACTTTAGGATTGATTGGGTTGATTTTTCTCATTCTATTTTTGACCTCTAATAATTTGGGTAAATACTTTACACTGCATTTCCACTCTTTTAATGTTTACCTTGTAATGACAGTTGCTTTCTTAACTAATCAAAGTTCGAGTGTATTTAGTATCTATCTTCATGTTCTTCCTGAAGAATGTAAGGATCTTAGAACACTTTAACTCTGCTCACCTGTTATATGCTATTGTTGCTGTGTATTTTAGCTCTATTTTCATCCAGAAGACATGGTTATTGTTTTGTATTATCAGTGTTTGTTGTTCTTCATTCCCCATTGCATCAGATCTGTCCGTGATGTCTTCTCCCTGACTGAAGTACCTCCATAGAAATTCCCTTTAGAGAGGGTCTGCTAGTGACAGTCTTAGTTTCTGTATTTGTAAATGTTATTATTTTACTTCGTTCTGGCAAGATGTTTTCACTGGGTACATCGTTTTTGAAATAAATTTTCACCAGACATATAATTGTAAGATGATGGTTATCTCCTCTCGGGACATCGGATACATCATTCCTCTGCCTTCTGGCTTCCGTTGCTCCTGATAAAAAGTCAAGTTTCGATTTGTTACTTCTTTTTTTTCTTCTGTGTGTCAGACAGAAGCGTTTGGACTTTATTCTGAGGACAATAGGGAATTATGGAAGGTTTTTAAGCACTAGGGTGACTCAGTCAGATCTGTTTTTTCAGAAAGCACGCTGGCGCTGTGTAAATACTGGGTCGGAGGGGATGGCAGCTCAGTGGGAAGGTCATTGTTGCCGTCCAGAGAAAGGACAAGGGGTGTGGAAAGGCAGGGCTTGGGATCAGTTGCGGTAGGCGGTGGGTGCGGGAGGAGCACGACGATTCCGGGTTCCTGGCGAGGATGAAAGGAAATGCCGCGATAAAACAGGACTGGCTTGGGGCTGGGTGGTTATAACGAGTTCTTCCGGGACCTCAAGATCCATTCATTCCACAAATAGTTGAACACCTACTATATGCCGAGCGCCCAGCGCGGTTTGTGTGTGTTGGGTCTTGGGGCAGCGTGGCAGCAAAATCCGTTCCCGTGTGCACCTTTTATCCGCCGCAGCTACACCTGCTGCGGATTTTTGCCTAGCTGGGGGCCCTCGAGGCAGAGCCCGCGCCTGTCCCGGGCGTCTCTGCATTACAGCCCACGGACCGACGGACGGATGAATGGAACTATGGCTGTGGAGGGGCCTGCACAGCCCTGGCCAAACTGCGCCGCTCCGGAGCCCAGATCTGGAGAGACCGCGGTGTGGTGACACTGCGACAGGTTGGGAAGCTTTGGCCGTCCCCCACCCTCCTGCAGCTCTGGGGTCGGCGCCGCGGTCCCGCCCGCTCCTTTGTGAGAAGTGGGGCAGACGGCCTCCCCACTCGGCCCGTTTCCTCATCTGCCTAACCCACAAGAGTCACCAAGGATTTTAGGAAACGCGTCTGAATATTGGGATCTCGTCCCGCCCCGGAGCCGAGCGGCGCCCGCGCCAAATAAGTTCCGCGGGCGGGCGGCTGGGGGAGCTG